GCAACAACAATACTACAGCGAGAATAAAAGTTATGCCTTCTTTCTTTGCGTGAACATTTGGGCGGCGTTATGCAAATCTTCCCACATCGTGACGTAGATATGTGGGGGCGTGTTAGAACGAGGCGTTTTAGGTAGGCGTGGCTGACTCTTAACTTTTATAAAGAATGTCTCTTTGGATTTGAGACTTTAGTCTTTGCAACTTTACAGATCTTCTTTATGCACCAAGAGCTTGTAATACTCCAAAGAGAAAGGAAAAATTGAAATCGCATGATATGACCCCTTTAAGTGTCAACCTATAGCTAAAATTACTACAGTACCAATGTGCCATGTTAATAAAAGCCATTTACAATTGTGCTCATACGTTTGCAGAATGAGCAAAATATTAATACTAAATCATACATTTTAAAAAGCATCAAAATTACAAAAGAGGGATCATAAAAATTGCATTTTGTTTGAAAAATAATACTGACATAAAAATATTATTAAAAATTGTATTATTAAAAGATGCATTTACAGTAGAAAAATTATAGATATTAAATATTATTATGTTCAAAATATAATTTAGCACAGACTTTCAGAAGCTAGATATTTACATTTCCCAAAAGACAAAATAAGTACAGTTTACAGTGTTCAAGGTTTTTTTTTTTTTTTTTTAATTATGCATTGTATTTCCTGAATATTGTGTATTCCTGAATATTTTAGCTTATGCAGGGCAGTAGTAAAAAAATTTACATTACAACATTACAATTGTATTTCATTTTGCAAACATGCAAATAAAAAAAGACTGGTGCATATACAGTTTATAAATATAAGGGTGAGTAAATCAATTTATTTATTTATTGCCTGAACTATCCCTTTAATACAGTAAATACATAATTTATTATCAGCTTTTGTGTATGTTACATGTTGGTACAATTGCCAGTCTTGGATAAAGCAAACCGAGCTCTTGCTGCAGGCATGTTCCTTTCAACTCTATTCATGTAATACTCATAATACATGATTATGTACAATACTTCATCTGATATGAGTGGACATAATAGAGGTCAGGTAAGATTGATGATTTAAAGCTGATGCGTGTCATTCTTTAATGTCAAAACACTTTCTACCTTCTACCATTACCTAAATGAAGTTTGTTTTTCATTTTAATTAATACAAAAATAAATAGAAGTATATTTAATAATTATCATTACTATTAATGTTATTTATTATTCTAAAATGAATACATATATGTTTATATAAATTTTTTTTAAAAATGACAAACTTGTTTTATTAAAAAAATAACTAAAATTAAAATGAAAACTGAAAAAATAAAACAAATATTTAAAATATTAATAAAAACTATAATAGTATCTCAGTACTAAAATAACACTGGTGCAGATGCCAAATGTAAGGAAGGCTGCTTTTTGTAGAGTACAAATGCTGTGGCGCTTCGGACATTTTAAGCTCATCTATATGCTATTATACTTTTAAAATAAGTTTTAGCAGATTTATACACATTTGAAAGGTCTCTTCCAGGATAGTATACCAAAACAATTGATGCTACTTAGCTTCAAGGCTTTGAAAATGCCCCAACCTCCCATTTCAATCTGCACTTTTCATGGTGCTTTTAAAGAAACGCCTCGCCCATCGCCCTGTGCTGGTCGTGTCAGGCGTCTTCTCCATCTCTGACCATCCATGAAGGTGAATCTGTACCGGAGGAATCTAATTTCACTACACGGCCTCTGATCAGACAGAAATTGGCCACAGCCGCTGTGATCAGCGTGTGCTTCTGGCTCTGGTAGGAGCAGGTGTGTGTGAGAGATAACCATTGGCTTTAGTGTTTCTATTAGTCCTGAGTCTCACCGATAGGAAAGTCACAGCAATATAACACCAATACAAGCACTAACACAGAGACAGCGGCCCTTTACACACACCCGAGATGCCAACAATTTCTCGGTTTCTTCCTGTACAGCATCATTCTGCTTTTCCTATGAGCCACAGGTGTGTTCTGAGGATCGCAAACAACAGGGAAAATCAATGTGAACTGAAAATAAAAAATGCAATAGTATAATCATATATAGTGAAGATAAATAGACTTACCATCATTTTGACCTTATAAAGCCTACTTTATCATATCTGATACCAAGGAACATTTATTTGTCCATCTGTCAATCATTGTTTTGCATTGCATTATGTTTTGAAAATAAAACTACGCATTTAAATATCATCTTACTAAGACATTATTGGAGATAAAGAGTGAATGAAAGATATTTATATAATTGTATGGCTTTATAAGGCATAAAAGCCTGATGCATTAAACATACAAACAAAAACAAAAAAACTGAATGAAATAATGAAAAATGAAGTATTATGTTGCAACACTTGGATGTGAACACAAATGCATGTGTGCATTTAATACCTGTTTTAGATATCCAGACTGAGGGATGGTTAGCGGACAGTGTGAAAGCAGACATGGAGCAGGCCGGCACTGAAGATGATGATCTGGACTGTGACGTCACGTATGGAGAAGTGGAGCAGAGACTAGACCAACTGCAGGAACACCTGAGCAGGTAAAACCCAGATCAGGCTTCATTAGGAAACAGCTCTGGATGAGCCATACTGCACTGAAAAGGATTCTAAACACAGACCTGTGATTGCATGTTCTATATTAATGCTTATGCTGCTATGGTTGATTTTCTTAAAAATGGGAAGTGAATGGATGGAAAAGAGGCCATTGCATGCTAGGATTGAGCCAGATCAATGACAAGCAACAGGAACAGGAATTTGTGGCATCAGCTGAAAAAGAAAGTGTCATAGGTGGAGCATCACTTAAATTAATTTAGAATTTTGACTTAAAACAGAAATTAAATTACATACGAGTCATGCACAATATGGATGTGCATTATTAATGAAGTAAATAAGTCTTTTGAAATAAGTAAATATATTTTCACCATTATGACGCAACACTGTTACAGTAAATTATAATAATTGAATTATTAAAATGAATGTCATCATTTTAAAAATACATTAAAATTATATAAATATATAATAATATAAACAATTGTTTTTTAAAAAATTTATTAAATTTAACAATTTTATTAAATTAATAAAATATATAAAACAATTATTCAAACAAATTTAAAATAACTTTCAATTCATGTTGCATTGCTGTGCAGCATTAAATAAATGATCTTGATTCATTTTGATCATATTAGTAGCGTCCCTTCAGTCACATAAGTATATTTAAGAAACATCTGAAATGGTGAAATACCGTTTGCATCTGTGAGAGTCTTCCGGTGCATCACACCATGTTTCCAGGGAATCCGTACACTACAACAAATTACACTAACCAC